TCTTCGATTCTGGTCATGTCCTGTTCATGTGTCCCGTCTCGTCACGTTTCCCCGTAAGTTGTTTCCTGTCCTTCCTTGTTCCACTCCTGTCTTTGAGTGCGACTTTTGTTTCTTGAAGATTTCTTTTGTTACGTTTACCCTTTTAAATAAAAGACACTTTTTGTTAAACAATATTTAGTTTCTGCGTTTTGGTCCTTTCCTTCCCTTTTTTCCCTAGACGTTCGTTCCCTCCCCACGCACCTCCAAACCTGACATGAGACAGTATGAAACTAAAGTGACACTGAATGATCCTCTAACATAAATCATGGATAAAATGTGTAATGTGTAGAAATATATTGGCCTCCCACTGCTGTCTGCTCTCTACCCACTGCTCCTGTTGTATCGCTGCAAACTCCTCCACCATTTGAGCCAGCATAGTCACTGACTAGAGCTGCTGTGGATCCATCACAGCACTGACTGCATATTGGGCACCACTGAGGCAAAGTTGCCTGTCATGATGGGTCTCCCATCAACAGCCATTGACTGGTTTCATAATTTTATTGAAAACAGAAACAATACATAAATGCCTGGCATCACAATCTCTCTCTATAGTGGCAGCTCAGCTTATGCTTTTCTCCATGTCTCTCCTTCGATGTCTCTGTGTGACTCTTCTGTGAGTGACTGTGTGCATTGGACTTCTGGAGGTTTCATACTGCCAGACTGCTTGAACTTAGGCTGAGTACTATCTTTAAATAGGCTTCTCTGCTGGAATGTTACTGTATCTACTTTCTAAGATTAACTTGACTGCTTTGTTTGTGCTGTTTTTCTTACCTAGGATTGTGTGAGATAGGATTTTCACCGATTAAGGTGGGCAGCGTCTTTTTGTTTTTCAGCTCTGGTGAGTAACCACTCATTAGCAGGGGTGTGGTCAGCACAGCTGTAGCCAACCATCATCAACTGCGGTGTTTAAAAAACAGAATTAGTTTGAAGCATCAGCTTCAGCATATAACTTGTCAGATGAAGACTCAGAGGATAAAGGCAAAGAAATCTTGTCTTGGAGTCTTCAGGGGAGGCTAAGTAACTTGTTGCTCTGAACCTTTCTTATTTGAATATGTGTATATTCCTGTAAACATATCTTCTCATATATACTAGAAACCTCACTCTCGATCTCAACCGCACCGTAACCTTATCTATCCCACCAATTCCACACATACCCAACACCTTGTCATGGGGGCCTCTGGAACTGCCAGCTACCAGCAAGTGGAGTTCATCTCTGGCTTTGCTACTAAGCAATCACTTGACTTCCTTGCTCTCACTGAGACTTGGATCACACCAGCCAACACATCCACCCCTGCTCTCTCCTCAGGCTACTCTTTCACCCACCCACCGAGACCCACTGGCAGAGGTGGTAGTACAAGTCTACTCATTCCCCCCAAATGGAGTTTTTCTATCAACCTGCTGCCACATTTTACTCCACTGTCTTTTGAATTTCATGCTGTGACTGTAACTTATCTGGTACAATTACACTTTTTTGTTGTCTACCGTCCACCAGGTCCTTTGGGAAAGTTCTTGGAGGAATTAGATCTCTGCCTCTCGAACATCCCAGAAAACGGCCCCCCACTTGTCCTTCTTGGCGACTCCAACATCCAGAAAGGGAAGTCATCTGACTTACTACTTTTACTTTCTTCCTTTGCTCTCTCACTCAGTCCTTCCCCTCCTACTCATAAAGCTGGTAACCACCTGGATCTTATGTTCACCAGAAACTGATCTACCTCTAACCTCATTGTCACCCCACTTAACGTCTGCGACCACTTCTTCATCTCTTACTCTCTCCCACTCTCACGATCTGACAACCCTATGTCATCAATAGTCTCAGTACCTGTCCGTCAGGTCCCTCTCTCCCTCCTCTATGGCCTCATCTGTTTTATCAGCCCTTCCTTCATCTGACTCTTGCATCCTAACTCTGCCGCAGACTTACTCCTCTCCACTCTGCTCTCCTTTCTCGGTTATCTCGGTCCTCTTATTTCACAACAGTTGCACAAGTCCTCCACAGCTCCATGGCTGTCTGACTCAGTGCGCACTGACAGAGCCACTATGTGGGCATCAGAAAGCCTGCTTACTTATCAAGTTCTTCTCTCCTACTCCTCTGCCTCTATTTCTGCAGCCTGAAGCTGTTTTTATCAAACAAAAATGCTCAACCCACAAAAACCTCTTTTCCATCCTTCTTGACCCCTCAGTCCCCCTCCACCTTACACCCTTCTACCAAGGTGATTTGTCAACTATTTCACAAAAAGACAGATGATATATGATCCTCATTCTACAACCCACCCTCTGAAAAAACCTTTCCATCACCCACATCTTCATCTTTATCCAATTCTCTTTCCTCTTTCATCCCCTTGACTCCCAATCAAGTTATTGCCCTGGTAACATTTGCCCCCTTGACCCCATCCTTCTCACATTCTTCAATCAATTGCTCCCGACCTTCTTCATTTTCTCACCCATCTATTCAAGGTTCAAGAGGTTTTATTGTCATTGTACAAGTACAATGAAATTGGTTTTGGTAGCTCTCTGCTAGCCAACAGCATTAATAATATTTTACACAAATATAAAAATACAAATAACAATGGCTATAAAAATAGCAATGGTGATAAAATATACAGCAGGTTTAAAATGTGCAAATTGTGCAATGTTAACAATTGAATACATTTTTAAAAAACTGTTCTACATTTTAGCAGCCTGGTTGGGGGGGTGCTGGCTCAATCAGATGTCCTCTGTGCTGTCTTGACTACTCGGGTCTCTCCGGTTCTCTGCTGTGCAGCTGAATCAACACTTATTAACACTTCCCTGTCAACTGGCAGTTTCCCTATCTAACTCTCTTAAGGATGCAAGAGTGAACCCTCTCCTCAAGAAACCCACCCATAACCTGTCTGAAGTAAACAACTACAGACCTGTCTCTTTCTCTCAAAAGCGTTATAGCTCCATAGTTATATCTTTTATCAACTCTCTATCTTCACCAGAACAGCCTTCCTGATCTTCACCAGTCCAGTTTCAAGGCACGTCACTCAACTGTGACTCTGACCAACTTCACATTGTGTGGTCATCCTTCTTGACCTTTCTCCTGTGTTAGTGACAAACTTGCTGGGGTCCCTCAAGGTTTTGTTCTGGGTCCCCTCTTTTTTTCCTGTAAACCAACTTTCTCTGCTCTCTGCACAACAGATGGTAAATAGTTTCCCTACCACAGCTATGCAGATGGTATTGTATTTATATGCCGCTTTTCTAGTCTTGATGACCACTTTAAGTGCATTACAGCACAGTTTGCTATTCACCAATTCACACACACACACACATTCATCAGCATTCAGTGTTCAGCATCCTGTCCAAGGACACTTCGGCATGCAGATGGGGAAGACTCGGGATCAAACTGCTGACCTTCTGGTTGGAGGATTACTGCTCTACCCCTTAACCACAGCCCATGACACCCAACTAATCCTCTCTTTGCCCCAGTCTGAACACAGGACAGACACGGTCTGACTGACATCTCTCAGTGGATGTCCGAAAACCACCTGAAAATCAAAACCAAGCTCCTTTTCTATCCAGGGAAGGGCTCTCCCACCCATGACCTTATTACCACCATCGACAATTCTATGGTAGCTCCCACCCAGACCACAAGGAACCTGGGTGTGACACTCAGCAGTCAACTCTGCCTTGCCACCAACATTGCTGCAACAACCTGATCATATAGATCACATACAGTATGTCAGGCGTTTGACCTCCTCTCTGTAGGCTGACTCATGGTTGTTATTTATCAGTCCTATGATGGTGGTGTCGTCGGCAAACTTGACAATGGCGTTTGTGGGGTGGATGGGGTATAAGTCATTAGTGAGGATGGAGAAGAAAAGGAGGCTGAGAACACAACCCTGTGGGGTTCCTGTGTTCAGGATGAGAGTGGAGGAAGTGCGTTCTCCCATCCTGACACACTGAGGTCTTTTACTGAGAAAGTCCAATATCCATGTGCACAGTGAAACACCTAAGCCCAGGTTGCTTAATTTCTGGATCAGTTTATGGGGGACGACTGTATTGAAAGCAGAGCCGAAGTCCACGAACAGCAGCCTCACGTAGGTGTTGCTGTGATCCAGGTGAGTGACGGCTGTGTGGAGAGCCGTCATGACAGCATCCTCCACCGACCTGTTTGCTCTGTAAGCATACTGGTGTTGGTCGAGGCCAGCAGGGATGGCAGACTTGATGAGGGGGGTGATGAGTCTTTCAAAACATTTAGTTATGATGGGGGTGAGAGCAACCGGGCGGTAGTCGTTCAGGCAGTTCACTATGCTTTTCTTGGGTAGTGGGACGATAGTGGCAGGTAGGAACAACAGACAGCTGAAGTGAGAGGTTGAAGATGTTAGTGAATACCTCTGTCAGCTGTTCTGTGCAGGCCTTGATTACTTGTCCCAGGATGCCATTTGGACCAGGTGCTTTCCTCGCATCCACTCTGCGCAGGGTGGCTCTGACATGGTGTGGTTCAAATTCAAAAAACTTTATTGTCATGCAAAGTCGTACTTCGTACACTAGCACAACGGAATTGTAGCACAGTCCTCCTCCTCAATGCCAAACATACAATTAACAAGACACAGTCCACTACACAAATTGAAATAAAAATAAGGGGATTCCAGGACCAAAGGCATTTAAAGATGCGGACATACTATACAAAATAAATAATTGTACTGATACATATAGGAAATATGAATAAGTGTTATATTGAACCCTTATAAGAGATATTACATTATTTTGCATTTATCATTGCAAATGTAAATGGTTGCAGCTGTGGCCAGTCTTTGTCCACTGGTGGAGCAGGAAATGTGTCTGGGTTCCTGCTGTGTTGGTCAAAGTGACCAAAGACCTGGTTCAGTGTGTCTGGGAGGGCACTGTCTGTGGGGGTTCTAGCTGAGGTGTTGGTTTTGTAGTCGGTCAGAGTCTTTATCCCCTGCCACATGCTTCTGGAGTGATTGTTGTTAAAGTGGGCCTCGATGTGCTGTTGGTAGCTGCACTTAGCCCTTTTGATTCCCTTCATCAGATTTATCCGTGCCTCTTTGTAGCTTTGTGGGTCTCCATTTCTGAAAGCTGCTTTGCATTCCTTGAGCAGGGTCCTCACTTCACCATTGAACCACAGTTTCTGATTGGGGAACACTTTAACTGTCTTTGTCTCTGACACCTGGTCAGCACAGAATTTGATATAATCCAGCACTGCAGATGTGTGTCCGTCCAGGTCTGTCCCCTCTGCAAAAACCTCCCAATCTGTGACTTCAAATCCGTTCTGCAGGGCTGAGGTGGCTATCTCAGTCCAAACTTTCAACTTTAAAGTAGGTTTCTGTCTGCAGATCAGTGGTTTGTAGGCAGGGATGAGGGAGAGGGGCGGGTGGTCGGAGAGACCCAGGTGAGGTAGTGGACTGGCTTTGAAGGCATTGGAGATGTTGCAGTAGACCTGATCTAGAATATTCTTTTCTATGGTAGGGAATTTTACATGCTTATGAAATTCAGGCAAAACAGACTTTAAGTTGGCATGATTAAAATACCCTGCCACTATAGTTATGCTGTCTGCCTGCGAAGCTAGATGCCGGTTGATGAAGAGAAATAACGTCTCCAAGGCTACTTTAGCATTAGCTTGAGGGTGTATGTAAACAGCGATAATTACAACTGATGTAAACTCCCTACACAGATAAAAGGGTCAGCATATATTCTATGTCTGGGGAGCAGTGGTTGGCTCTGACAGTAGCGTTAGTATACCATCTGTTGTCGATGTAAACACAGAGTCCACCACCTCTCTGAAGGTGGCGCGGCACGCTAGCTCGATAGCAGCATCGGGGATATTTTGGTCCAGCCAGGTCTCCGTCACGATCAGCAAACAGTATTCCAGACTGTGAGACGTAATCCACACTCGTAGCTCGTTCATCTTGTTCTTAAGAAATCGGGAGTTGGTCAGAAAGAGGCTGGGAACGACTGGTTTCAAAGGGTTAGCCTTTAGCTTAGCCACTAGCCCCCCGGATCTCTGGTGGAATGTTGTTTCAAAAAAATATAATTGTATGAGCATTCAGCCTGTTCTGCGAAGGACAGCAGTTCCGCTCTGCTATACTGCACACATGTAGCGGACAAGGTCGAGAAAAAGTGAGAAAGGAAAGGTAAAAAACTGCAGAAAGTATCTTATTAAGCTGAAATTTCAGAGCCGAAATTTTATTGTGTAGCCCAATAGATGTAGCCCTAGTTTCTTTGTTCTTCTATCTGTTCTTCTATTTGCACTGAATCCGTATGATTATGTTTCCTCTGTGCAGATTGGAAGGAGTTAACATCCTCTTATATATGCTTTGAAGGTCTCCCAAAGTAATATCTGTGACATATTGTCTTCATCATTCATCTCAAAGAAGAGTTTTATGTGGGTCTTTAGATAGTCACAGAATTGTTTCCTCGTAAGCAGTTGGGGATCGAATTGCCAGCCCTTAGGTGTGTTTGTCTGTTCCATCAGCCTCAGTGATATAGAAACAGGACAGTGGTCAGAGATAATAATGTTGTGATATTTGGCATTTTGAAACCCAGATAGGATTTTATCGTCCAGTAGAAAATAATCTATTGTGATATATACATTATGAACTCGAGAATGAAGTGAGTATTCTCTCCTTGAGGGGTTCAAGGATCTCCACACATCAAGTAAGTTTACATTAGCAAAATATGAATTCAGAAAATTAGAAGCATTGGGTGGTGTTTCTTTGAGTAGAAGACCTATCTAGATATGTATCCAAAACTACATTTAAATCACCTCCAATAATCAGGTATGTGGTTGATATATCTGGGATCAGGTTAAACAGTTTCCTAAAGAATTCTGGATCAAATCAAATTGTATTTGTGTAGCCCATATTCACAAATCACAATTTGTCTCATAGGGCTTTAACACGGTGTGA